AACTCACCAAGAAAACCACCATGAACCCGGCACCCTTTCTTCCATCTCTCGGCTGCCTCTCTTCTCTCCACTCACTTGCACACTACACACTCTACACTACACGGCTGGAACCTTAAAATATAGGGCACATTAGTTAGGCATTTAATTGGGCCATCCAAAAGTATAGGTCGATTTCGAGTCGAGTCGAGTCAAATCTATGGTGTCGCTAAATAATCCGACAACTGTTTTAAATCATCGCCCGAATTTATTGGGTATCAAAAAACCCAACAATACACACCATTTGCACATGCCCCTCTGAGAAGAATCGCCCCCGTAGCTTGATCCTTGACAAGAAAATGAGTGGGGTGAAATTCGATGAAAACATTATTTTGTGTCGTGAAGTGGTGAACAGAAATTAAATTTTTGTGAATGCTAGGAATACATAAGGTTTCATTCAATTTAAAGGTACGGGTTGGGGAATGAAAAACCAAAGAACCAATGTGTGAGACACGCAAACCTGAACTGTCACCAATTACGACTTCGTGTGTACCATTATATTCCAAGTGGACAGATAAATTTGCCAAATCTCCTGTGATATTGTGAGAAGCACCAGAGTCAATTACCCATTTTGGATCCTTCGAGTGAGATGCAAAAGCACAGTTGGCGATGGGTTCAGAGAAGTGGACTTTTGGTCAATATTTTGCAATGTGGCCCAGCTGGTCACATAACTGACACTCGGGTTGAAACTTGCGTTGGCTTGTGGGCTTGCCTCCATTATTGTACTGCATCTATTATCATGTGGCCCATTGTAAGACCGATTACCTTGCTGCCTGTTGGATCCTCGATAGAAATTGTTGCTATGCGAAGAATTTGCACCAGATCGATGACCAGCTGAGCGATTGGAGTAATTTGCCGTTGCCACCAGCTGCTGTGTGGTGACTTCAAGGCGGCGTAAATATGCTTCATGGCCCACAAGCAAGTCGTGGAGCTCCTCAAATGTGAGACTTCTCTCGGGCTCGAATTGGCGCTACGATTTCACGGAAATCAGTTCCCAAGCCCTTGTGGTAGTTGTTGAGGCGAGAATGGCTCTAAGGATTAACTTGTCCTGTCTGAACCAGTGGGTTTTTTGAAGGATGGAAGCTGGGGTGTTACTGGATATGGGGCAGAGATTGTCGCCGGTGACATAATCCATGAGATTATATCCAATAAGAAGTGCCTCAAACTGTGCACGCCATTGAGGGAAGGTTGAAGGGGTAAGTTTTCCATTGTTCTGGGTTGAGATGTTCAGGGCAATTAGTGGGATTTCGGTTGAGGATGGTGGGTTTGAGATGGGAGTGTGGGAGGTGGGGATCGCAGTGTCGTTAGAGGGTAGCTGCTCTGATACCATAATGAAGTTTGAATATGGACAGGAATTTTATTCAAACTGATTGATGTCAATTGGCAGTACACAATTTACATTGAAACGTATTCATATTTATATACACAACAAATAAAGAATCTATTCTAGGAAAGCTACAGATATTGCTGAGAATATGTTGACAGATACAATGTTGCTTGATTCTTGAGATTTGATCATTTGTAACTGCCCTGATTTTCTCCTTGATTTCCTTGATTCCAATATGTTCCATGATTTGTGGTGTTATCCTTGATACGCCCCTCAAGAAAGGGCTTACATCGGCAAGTCCAATCTTGGTTCTTAGTTGCTCAGTTTTTTGCTTTGACAGTGGTTTTGTGAGAAGATCTGCAAGTTGATCTTGAGTGTTGATCGGGATTAGGAATTTGCAGTTAAGATAAGGAGTTGGGGATTGGTTGCATAGGCTGAATACCTGTCATGTGTGAATCTATGTGATGTGCAAGAGATGGAGGAGTAGGGGAAATACCGGAGGGGGATGCAAAAATGGGTGCACTATCCCGTCGGACTGATGGTGGTTGGGGCACTTGAAGCATCGAGATGGGCGACGACAGCTTTGGAGGAGAGTTGCAGATAGGAATTTGAGATTGGGCATCAAAAGGAGATTGGTTCTCATGGAAGATAACATGTCGAGACAAGCATACCCGTTTTGATGCTATGTCCATGCACCGGTAGGCACTTTGGGTTTGAGAATAACCCAAGAACACGCATGGGCTTGATTTGGGTTGGAGTTTGTGAGTATTGTAGGGCCGGGTTAAGGGAAAACACAAGCAACCAAATTTTCTTAATTTAAGATAATTTGGGGGTTGGTTAAACAAGCATGCAAAAGGAGATTTGTTTTGTAGGATTGAAGTGGGTTGACAGTTTATGAGATAGACAGCCGTTTGGAAAGCATGAGGCCAATATGAGAGTGGTAAAGTGGCATCCTGTAAAAGTGCGAGACCTGTTTCCACAAGATGGCGGTGATGACGCTCGGCAACGATGTTTTGTTGGGGGGTGTGGGGAGCGGTGTTATA